ACTTTATAAAAATAGAACTGTTTTCAGCTACAGCAAAAGGTAGTTATGTAGCCCAAACTTAATAGGAGCTGCCCCAGTACCCCCAGGACTTCCTGCCATTGTGTCCCCAGAACTGTTGTGTATTTCTGAAGATAGTATATCCCCTTTTTTTACCCATTGAAGTTGTTTGAATGCCCCAACTCTACAAGCACCCATAAGTTATTTCTGGAAGGATTGTTAGTACCAATCAGTAATTCAACTTTGAAGCTAAAAACTCTGAAATGGTAACATTATGGTGCATAACGTGGGTATTGGGTAGGGGGGAGAATTTCTGTTCAGTTTACTTTCAGGTGAAAAAAATGTTTCTAACTTGCTTGCAGCTTCTCTTAGGGCATCAAGCTTATTGAGGAGATAAACAGAATGCAGACCTCCTCAAAGTGTGGAGCAAAAAGTGAGGGCCTGCTTAGAAAGGGCCCGCGTCCCTTCGGGCTGCCCAGGCTCTGAGGGCACGCTCGGCTGTACTGTCTGATTTGTTCATCTGTATTGGATGAGGACCAATGACAGCAAAACAAAAATGGCTTTGAAACTTGCTGTTACTTTTCTTAAGTTGTTTAATTATGGTTAAGCAATTTGAAAAACGCTCCAAAGAAATGTGAAAGGACTTTGTCACAGCACTTAAGAAAATATAAAAGAGCATTCCCCGACAGCCCCCGCACAGAAATGCTGCAGAGTATAAAACTTGAGACATTTTGTAGGATGCCTGACAAAGTGTAGCCTTTTATCTTGTTTCAGGATACATATTTATTACAAGTACTCTGGTTAAATATTGAAAAGTTATATGCTGTAGTTTAGCTTTTTGTCTTTGTACTTTACAGAAGTTATTGCAGAAAATAAACTCGTTTCATTTTGCATCTCTGCTGTTGATTTTTTGGTGTGTTCATAAGCATATCTGTGGCTTCTGAAAACCAGTTCAATAGCATTTCATTGTGATGGGTTTTTTATGTTTGACTGTTTTCATCTATTTGAAAGGCAGAGTGATGGGGGTGGGTAAGGGGAGAGAAAGAAAGGGAAAGGAGTATTGGGATCTTCCATCCTCTGGTTCACTCCCCAAATACCTACAACAGCCAGGGCTGGGTCATGCCAAAACTCCATCCAGGTCTTCCACTTGGTGGCCAGGGGCCCAAGGACTTGAGATTTCATATGCTGCCTCCTAGGATGTATTAGGAAGAAGTTGGATGGGAAGCTGACTAGCTACATCTCATTCCTTTTAACTGCTACAAGGTACTTCATCATATGATTGTGCTCAATTTTATTGAACTATTTCCTCATGGATGGGCATTTAATCTCCTAGTGTTTTATAGCTGCAAAAATAAGATGGGGCAGGCATGGTGGAGCAGCAAGTTAAGCCACCTCTTCCAACAACTGCATCCCATATCAGAGTGCTGACTTGGGTCTGGGCTACTCTGCTTCTGATCCAGCTGCCTGCTAATGAGCCTTGAAAGCAGCAGTTGAAGGCTTGAGTACTTAAGTTCCTGCCACCCACATGGGAGACCTGGAGGGAATTCCTGGTTCCTGGTTTTGGTGTGGCCCAGCCTCAGCTGCTGGAGCTATCTGGGAATGAAGCTAGCAGATAGTAGATATCTATCTCTCCTTCTTTCTCTCTCTGTCTTCAAAATAAAAAAATTTTTTTTCAATGATGCAATAATTCTCCTGTATATAAATGGCCTTACACACACGTGAGGAGTCTTTGGATAATTTTCAAATTGTCCATTTTTCACATTAGCAACTATCATGATACAGGCAGTAAAAAAAAAAAATTATCATCATATTAGGTGAGAAAGAATGGACTTTTTCTTCATGGTGGTTGAAGTAAGAGCAGCAGTTCTCCTTACATAAACTTTGTTAAGACGGGCCTCAAAGCCCTTAATAATTAAAGCCACCCACCTTAAGATAAACACATGATGTACTGTGTGGGGAAAATGCTCCTGGAAGATGCTGAAGCGCCACTTTTTGCAAGGTGGGATGACTCTGGACTGTCAGGTGCTGAGAGCAGCAGAAACAGCATCCCTGAAGTTGAGGGCGCAGCTTTCAGAGCACAGTTGAAAGGTAGACTGCAAGGCCAAGAGAAGCTGGAATATAGCAGGCCAAGGAACAAGGACAGCCGCAGGGTAGAATGCCTGCTCCCCAGCCCAGGGCAGAGAGCTGCCAGGCATTCTGGGAATGTGGCACCTTTGAAGACCGATCAGAGCAAGAACTCAACTGTGGTGGTCACCATAAGTGGCCATAGGAGCCGATGGAGGGACCAAGATGGATTCATTCCATTGTGCGGAAAGGCTCTCTGCTGAGGAGTAAAGCAGAGATGGAGGTGAGCAGGAAGGAGGAAAAGAGACATTTGTGCACGTTGATTATAAACCAGGCCCTAGAATGGGAAGGAGAAGCATATTCAAACAATGTGACTGGATATACCAGAGCATTGAATGGAGGGTGTGGAAGAGAGAAGGGAGCAGGACTCAGACAAATGATACAAATCTCTGACAGCCAGGAGATGGATGAGTGGGGCGGGCTCCCGTGTGTCACCTCCAGATATTGTAAAGCCACACATTTAAGTCAGGTTAAATACACTGCTGGCTGAGATACTCCCCCCAGATGCCCATGTCCTGATCCCCAGAACTTGTGAATGTGTGACATGGCAAAGGGCAGTCAAGGTTGCCGGTCAGCTGATCTTATAGAGGACCCCAGGTTATCCAGACAGACCCAGTGTAACAAGAGGAGCTTGTGAAAGTGGAAGGAGAATCAGAGACTGGAAGATGCTGAACAGCTGGCCCAGAGAGACCAGAATGCATGCAAGTCACCTCTAGAAGCTGGAAAAGGCAAGAAAACAAATTTTCCTTTAGTCTCCAGAAGGCTCCATCCTTGCTGACATTTGTCTTCAACCCAGTGACACCCATTTCAAACTTCTGACTCCCTGGGATTTTGTTAACAATAAATCTATGCATTTTTTTTTCAGATTTATTTTATTTATTTCAAAGAGTTACAGGGGGAGAGGTAGAGACATTGAGAGAGAGGGAGAGAGAGCTTCCATCTGCTGGTTCACTCCCCAGATGGCTGCGATGGCCGGAGCTGAGCCCATCTGAAGCCAAGAGCCAGGAGCTTCTGGGTCTCCCACGTGGGTGCAAGGGCCTAAGGACTTGAGCTATCCTTCACTGTTTTCCCAGGTGTATTAGTAGGGAGCTGGATCGGAAGTGGAACAGCTGGGACTCGAACCAGCGCCCATATGGGATGCTGGCGCTGCAGGCCAGGACTTTAACCCACTGTGCCACAGCGCCGGCCCTGATCTATGCATTTTTGAGTCACTAAGTGTGTGGAGAGTTGTTAAAGCAATAATAGGAAATGGATACACAGGACAGAATCTCTACTGATGGAGAAATCCTAAAGATGATTCATAGTTTACTGGATGTTGAACACTGACTGTATGTGCTAGGCATGGTGCTGAATAGCAACAGCCTGAAGTGGTAGCAGGTGGTCAAACTATGCCTACCACTTAGCAGTACTCAGTATTCACTGTGTGGGGAGATGGACTTTTAGATGGCTGGGCTGCCTGTGAGGTCCTGCATGACCTGATGCCCTACTACTTTATTGACCCATTCTTCTTTCAGTCTCCTCCCCATTTTTATTGTCCCATTACTGTTCTAGGCCTCATTAATTTTGGTCCTCAGGACCTTTGCATATGCTGTTAGCATCTTAGACTACTGTCATAAATATTTGCATGATTTGCTGCCTCATTTTCTTGAGATCTCTGCTCAGTGTCATCTTGTAGAAGAAGCCTTCCCCCATGACCACATCTTTTTCCAGATCCCTTACCTGGCCTTATTTTTCTCCATGCCATTTATCATATCCACATAGGTAGTTCACCTGGCTGAGGGTGTGCGTTCTGCAATCCAGCCACCCTTGGTTCCAAGAGCTGTCCTCTAGAGTACAGAGTCTCAGCCTGGCTGGAAGAAAAGGCATTTTCCTAACTCCACATCACTGTTGCCCACACCCTACACCAGGTGCCTGACTAACTTGCAAAGGCATCCTGTTTACCAGCAGCTGTTTCTCTTCATCCAGTGGAAGAAAAATCTCAGGACGGCAAAATCCTAGTTTCTTTTTTCACCTTTACTTCCATAATGCTCACAGGAGCCCCGAGCACAAGGTAGGCATTGCATGGGTATTGTTTGGGTAGATGAACAGAAGCAGGGGGAGTGCTGAGACATCTGCAAGCCAACAGACTGTGCCTATTCGGCATGGTGTCAGGATGAGACTATGGACAGTGCCCCGTGGGAGCTCAGAAACAAGGCATCAAGCCCCGACGTGTGAGGTATATATGTAAGTATTCCAAATGTAAGTTTATTGGGATTTTCTTTTCTTAAATTCCACAGTTCCTGGGCTGGGAATAGTTTGAAGACAATCACATTTGATCTGTGGTGGTAAGGGTCTAGAAGTGCCCCGAATACATGCTTCCTCTGTGTGGTGTCTACAATAGCACGTCAGGGTAAGGGAAGGAGTGTGAGTGAAGGTTTGTGAAAGCACTCTTCAGCGGCCGATGCTGGGATGCAGTGGGCTAAGCCTCTACCTGCGGCGCCGGCATCCCATATGGGCGCCGCTGGTTCCAGTCCTGGCTGCTCCACTTCCAATCCAGCTCTCTGCTATGGCCTGGGAAAGCAGTAGAAGATGGCCCAAGTCCTTAGGCCCCTGCACTTACGTGCGAGACCCACAAGAAGCCCCTGGCTCCTGGCTTCAGATCAGCCCAGCTCCGGCCATTGCGGGCAGTGAACCAGCGGATGAAGAACTCTGTCTCTCTCTCTCTTTGTAATTCTACTTGAATAAATAAATCAATCTTAAAAAAAAATCACTATGCAGCCAGATAAGTGGCATTCCATTCCAGAGTTAGTGAAAATTCTGAAGTGCATATACTAAAACTAAAGTTTATATTCAGGCCACAAAGTTAAGATGGCAAAGGGAAGAAAAGGTATCACACAAGGTAGGTCTTCCAAGTTCTTTAATTTGATTTGTAGTTTTTACAGATGAGGTCAGCATGCTCCTGGTAAGAGCTAATTAAATGGAAGCAAAAGAAAAATTGTTGGCTTTAGAAATGGGAGTTCAAGGCTGGCGCCATGGTTCAATAGACTAATCCTCTGCCTTGCGGCGCTGGCACACTGGGTTCTAGTCCCAGTCGGGGCGCCGGATTCTGTCCCAGTTGCCCCTCTTCCAGGCCAGCTCTCTGCTATGGCCAGGGAGTGCAGTGGAGGATGGCCCAAGTGCTTGGGCCCTGCACCCGCATGAGAGACCAGGAGAAGCACTGGCTCCTGGCTTCAGATCAGCGCAATGCGCCAGCCGCAGCACGCCGGCCGCAGCGGCCATTGGAGGGTGAACCAACGACAAAGGAAGACCTTTGTCTCTCTCTCTCTCTCTCACTGTCCACTCTGCGTGTCAAAAATTAAAAAAAAAAAAAAATGGGAGTTCAAGGCCTATTCTGGCACTGTACCTCCTTTTATCATGACCAGCAAAAAAGCCAAGTGTTTAGAAAAGAGAAGTTACTTTCCATACACTTAGAAATAACCTCACAGTCATTTCCTAAAGTGATGAAATACAAAAACTTTTCAACTTAACAAGTGGTCAAGGAAGTGTTAGAGAACGGGAAACAGCTCCTTCCTTTGTATCGCCATATATGTTAAATACTGTACGAAGAGCCGCAAAAATTCAGTTGACTGTCGCAGAATCCTGGAACTGGAAGGGCCCATAGAAGCAAGTATGAATTTGCTCATTATGTAGGCAAGAAAACTGGGATCCGAGCTTCCCAGAGTCAAAACACAACAACAACAACAATAAACCCAGAATCTTGCTGACTTGAAACCAAGTTCATTGCTCTTCCCAGTTTTCGTTCCATGTTGAGGGGAAACAGAATAAACACTAGGACCTGTCCAAAATTTTGACTTAGAAGCTTGAGGGTACAGATTTCAACCTCGAGTTAATACCATCCAGGTTTTACTTAAGACACACTCAAGTGAACTCATTTAAACAACCCCTCCAACCTAACTCCAGAGAGGATTTCTCAGCAGTCTTGGGTCAACGGTGACTCAATTTCCACTCTGGAGGGGGACAGAACGAGTACCAAACGCAAAATCCATCTTTTCAGGTCTAAGTAAATCCTTCCTTCACTTTCTACCTAGCCTGCTCTTTCTTGAAAGAGCAACTTGACCCGTCACCGGCCGAGTCCATTGTTGGCCCCATAACACCATTCAGACGCCAGAATGCCAGGGCCGGCGCTGTTCCTTTGGGCGTTAGCCACGACCACCTGTGCGCCCATGTGTCCCTCGGGCCACTGAAGGATTTTAGACTATATGGCGGCATAATTCAGGGTTTAGTGGTGTTTGCCAGATGTACCCTTCCACCTGGAAAGCCGTCTCTGAAATGCTAACCATCGGCACATCTAGTGGCCCACTTCTTCGGCTACTCATCCCCTGCACTGCGCTTTCCTAACCATGCCTGGCTCCAGTCTCACCGGGACAGGCAACTCACACGGCGCCCGCACAGTTTCCTCGCGGGTCGGGAGACCCAGAACATCCGGGAAGCTGCAGGGTGCGTGCTGGAGAGCGCGGGGCCCCGCTGGCGTGGGCAGGCGTCTCGCACCTTTCTCCAGGTAGGCTCGCGGAGCCCTGCGCTCCTTTGCATTCTTCCATGGGGTTTATCCTGTCTTCCTGCGTCTTCACCTCTATGAGAGCAACAACAGGAGACGATTCAGAGCCGGGACAAGACCGAGGCCGCGAGCATCCCGAGAGCGAGGAGGGGAGAAAGCGCCTGGTGCAGTGGAACAGCGGTCGGGTCGGGCCCCGCGGGCCAGGATTCCCCAAAGCCGGAAGTGCCCCGCGTCTCCATAGTTACAGGCGCGCGGCGTGCCGTTCCCATGGCAACCGCTTTGTCTCGCGGGCCTGAAGCCTGGCGGCGGACGCGTACGGGCGGCCTCGCCGACAGTCTAGTTTCTGCCGGGCACCCAGCTGGCGCCCGGAACGAAATCTGCGGGGCCGGGACGCTGACACCGCCAGAGGGAGCAGGGCAGCCGGGCTCCGGGAGCCGAGAGGGCTAGTTCCGGGGTGTGGCTTCCCAGCCCTGGGCCAGGTAGGCCGCGCGACGCTGGCCGGCAGGTGCCCTTGCCCGCCGATCGGGCAAGAGCCTTGAAGCTGGCCCGCGAGACCCAGACCCAGCCGTGGAAACTCGGGGCGAAGCTCGGCATGTAGCGTCGGGGCCCGTGACGATTTGTACTCCGGAGAGGGCCTGAGTTAGCTGTCCGAACCCAGGCCCAAGTGGAACCTCTTGAGAACAGGGTGTAGGAGTTTGAAATGTTGGAATTGCCGGGCTGGTCGTAGTCTTGAAGGTAAAGATTAGAAAGAAAAATCAGTGAGTCTTCCCTTCCGGTTTTCGGAGACTGGGTGTTCAGGAGCCTGGGTTAGAGAGAGCTGCTTAGGGCTGCCATGGGAATGAGTGACACTCCGCAGAACGAGATGAGCGACTTGGTGGGTGTCCATGTTTAATAAATAATGCAGCATTCCATCTGCATTTGATTTTAGCCACAGGACTGGCCATGAGAGCGGAATCCTACACATAATTATAAACCACGTTCCTCACCGTGGATTGTAGCCACTTCCCCATCAGCAAACAAAATAGATGCATGAGTCTTTAGCTCCTTACCCAGAACCCCCCAGTAAATACTTAGATGACCCGAGGGAAAAGGAAGAGTGTCCAACACAGTGACTTACGTCATTTGGTCCGGGGAGCTGGTTGCATTGCTTGGATCCATCTTACTCCCAGACCTGCGAAAATAATATGAGTTGAGTAGCTGACCGTAGTATTGATGATCCACGAGCTGTAAGTGTGCTGCCTTTGAGAGGTAAAGAAGGCCAGAGATTTTGGAGAAGTGATGTGTAATAGAAATTAGGAGAAAGAAATTTAACTTAGACACGGACTTTGGCGAATGTCCATTTCTGCTTTCCCGGCTTCTCCGTATGTTTCCTTGGGGATCCCTGGAGCAGCTTCAGGTTAATGTTAATAAACTGGCAAACTTCTAGGCTATTTCCCCTAAGGCTGACCTCACACGTGGTTCTTGGTAGGAAGAAGATGCAAGCCTGCCCCATACGAATCCCAACTGTAAGCAATGACACCGACTGGGACTTCTGCTTCCATTTGTAAGTATCACAGAACTTTGACATCACACTCACTGCATCTTCCACTTAAGACTAGGAGAAATACGTGTACCCATGTAAGGTAGAAGAGAAAGTTCAGCTTTGCAATGTCTTTAAAAAAAGATTTACTTATTTGTTTAAAAGTCACAGTTACAGAGAGAGGGAGACACAGAAAGAGAGATCTTCCATCTGCTGGTTCACTCCCCCAGATGGCCACAACTGCCAGGACTAGGCCAGGCTGAAGCCAGGAGCTTCTTCCAGGTCTCCCACATAGGTAGTAGGGGTCCAGGCCCTTGGGCCATCCTCCACTGCTTTTCCCAGGCTACTAGCAGGGAGTTGGATTGGAAGTGGAGCAGCCAGGACACAAATCAGTGCTCATATGGGATGTTGACATTACAGGAGGCAGCTTTACCTGCCATACCACACCACAGCACCGGCCCCTTGCAATGTCTTTTTAAAAAAGATTTATTTATTTGAAAGTTGTAGTTACAGGGAGAGGAGGAAGGGGAGGGAGGGAGGGGGAGAGAAGAAGAGAAGGGAAGGGGAAGGGGGAAAGAGAGAGGGAGAACAGAGAGATCTGTCCACTGCTTTACTTCCCCAAATGGCTGCAATGGCCAGGGCTAGGCCAGGGAGAAATCAAGAGCTTCTTCTGGGTCTCCCACATGGGTGCAGGGGCTCAACCATTTGGGCCATCTTCCACTGTTTTCCCAGCACATCAGCAAGAAATAGATCAGAAATAGAGCAGCCAGGGGCTGGCGCTGTGGCGTAGTGGGTAAAGCCGCCACCTGTAACTGCCAGCATGCCATATGATCATCAGTTCAAGACCTGGCTGCTCCACTTCTGATCCAGCTCTCTGCTATGGCCTGAGAAAGCAGTAGAAGATGGCCCAAGTCCTTGGGCCCTGCACCCACATGGGAGACATGGGGGAAGCTCCTGGCTCCTGGCTTTGGATCATCTCAGTTCTGGCTGTTGTGGTCATTTGGGGAGTGAACCAGTGGATGGAAGACCTCTCTCTTCCTCTCTCTCTCTCTCTCTCTGTCTCTCCCACTGCCTCTCTGTAGCTCTGCCTTTCAAATACGTAAATAAATCTTTAAAAACAAAAAAGAAATGGAGCAGCCAGAACATGAACTGGAGCCCATATGGGATGCCAGCATTGCAAGCTATGCCACAATGGAAGCCCTTGCACTGTCTTTTAACAAAAAAAGATTTATTTATTTATTTATTTGAAATGCAGTTACTGAGAGGCAGAGAGATAGAGAGGGAGGGAGGGAGGGAGAGAGAGAAAGAGAAAGAGAGAGAGAAAGGTCTTCCATCCTCTGGTTCACTCCCCAGATGGCCACAGTGGCCAGAGCTGCGCCAATCCAAAGCCAGGAGCTTCTTCTGGGTCTCCTACTGGGTGCAGGGGCCCAAGAACTTGGGCCATCCTCTACTGCTTTCCCAGGCCACAGCGGAGAGCTGGATCAAAGTGGAACAACCGGGACTCAAACGGGCACCACTATGGGATGCTGGCACCACTGTAGGCGGTGGCTTTACCCACTATGCCACAGTGCTGGCCCCTGTTGTTGCTCTTAAGATCTCAGAATTTTATTTCATCTGAATTACTTCATTGATCTTTTCTGGAGATAGTAGGATATGGTTATTTCTTTTGGTTTATCAAATTAATCCTTTTTACTTTATTTTTACCATTCCACTTAACCATTCACAATTATGTTCAGCATTGAAGCCAGAAATCTATATTGTATGTGAAAGGGGTATATAGGCAAGTGTGTGTATGTGTGTGTGTGTTTTTTGGAAGCTTGTAAAATATGTGAAAGAAGATGTGAAAGTCTAGCCTCAAAATGTTATCTCCCTTTCTCTTATTTCAATGAATCTATTTTCTTTCCTGATTTGGGTCACATTTTAGTTTATTTATTTTTAAAAGTTGCTAAGTAATCTGGCCCTTTCCAGTCAGCAGAACCAGAGGGTTGCATTTATTTTTAAAAAGATTTTATTTATTTATTTGAGGAGTAGAGTTACAGACAGAGAGGGAGAGGCAGAGAGAAAGGTCTTCCATCTGCTGGTTCACTCCCCAAATGGCCACAGCAGCCATAACTGGGCCAATTGGAAGCCAGGAGCCTGGAGCTTCTTCTGAGATTCCCATGCTGGTGCAGGGACCCAAGGACTTGGGCCATCTTCTGCTGCTTTCCCAGGCTATAAGCAGAAAGCTGAAAAAGAAGAGGAGCAGCCGGAACTTGAACCTGTGCCCATATAGAATTCCAGAGCCACAGGTGGACCCTTAGTCTACCATGCCACAGTGCCAGCCCCGGGTCACCTTTTAGAATGTGAAGGATCTTTAAGACTTTCTAGTTTAACACTGTCATTTTGCAGATGACAACACCAGGTTAATCATAATAGCTACTGTTAAAGGAACACTTACTAAATGCCAGGCACTGTGCTAAGTGATGGATGAGTGTTGTCTCATTTAATTAATCCGACAACTTCATCAGGCAAGTATTCTTATGACCTCATTTTACAGAGCAGTAAACTAATAAATGATTCAGGTCGCAACAGAACTGCGGCTCTAATGCAGGGGGGTAGCTCACTGAATCTGTTTAATTTGAATGACCACATTAGTGGCCTTGAAGTTGAGCTTTGAAGATGACACGTATCTACTGTCTTCCTTTATTCCTTCCAGTTTAATTTAGAAAGCATGTCCCTATCCCCAAGTTGGAAGAGCTGTGTCCTTCAATTTTATCTTGTTTGATAATGCGATAATGCAAAGATCAGATCCTAATTCCATGCCCCTCGTGCCTGCAGGTCACAGCAAACTGAGTTCCCAGCATGCCAGCAAACAGAAGAGTTGTGTACCACTTGTGGGTCTGGAGAGAGTGAAGAAGACACAACAGCCCAGATGGAGGACATAGTCATTGACTGTATGTCTCTTCCCAAAGAGAAATTAGCACAGGCCCAGAAGAAAATAGTTCAGCTGATTAAGGAAAAAATGGTAAAACAACCAGAAAACGTCCTAGGTGTTTGTTTCCATTTAAAGACATGCCCATGATTAGGGAGCTCTTCCTTTGCTGAGAATGAATCATGTAAGATAGAGGAAGGGGTTATGTGCCTTCGGAAGGAGAGAAACAGCAGCGTATGGTTGGGTTGCCAGCTCACCTTTCAGTTCCATCCATGGTTCAGTGGTTGTTCCTCATTGAAGTGTTTGTGCTCCTGGCTTTCAGCTAAAAATTATTGTGTATTTCCTGTTGCTGTTTGATTCCTTTAATTTTTTCTCTCTTTAAAAAAAAAAAAATTCCTAGAAGGCTTCAGGATATTGTCTCTTGAGTAGCAAGAAAGCCAAGACAGTGAGGCAGGAGGCTGAGAACAAGGAAAGCCAGGCTCAGGCCTGACAAGTCCATGGGTAACTGCCTGTGGTTATAGCGGAATATCAAGCAAGTAAAGGAGCAGGAACGGGTAGTAGCAGCAGAGGTAGGAGAGGCCAGGTATGCATTTCCAAGGGCAAGTCAAATTCTTGGGAACTAGGGTTTCAGAGCAAGTATATAAACAAGAGTATAAACAGGGGTATTCAAAATCCAGGATCCTGAGACAGCAAGTCATTGACTCCCATTAATAGAACACAGGCACCAGCCTTCTTCCAGACCATGATTTATCAACAGAGGAGTTAATAGAGTGATGATCTGGCCATTCTTGGTCAAGGGAAAAAAATGATTTTAAAGTACACATTTGAAAAAAGGTCTGCAGATGGCTCAGGAACGGCTGAGAGGCACCGCAGAGGCAAATGACCGGAAGCAGTATCTCTCTGGATGAGGATCTGTAAATTACCCAGAAAATTTGTGAAGAACAAGCATCCTGGCCTGGACCCATTAGAAATTCACAAATCCATACCAGGGGATTCCAATTCAATCCCATCAAGGTGGCATGTACCAATGCCATCTCACTAGTCCAAGTGATCAATTTCTGTTCACAATTGATCATAATGATAGGATTAAGAATCAAAGGGATCACATAAACAAGACTAGTGTCTGCAAATACTAACTGATAGAATAAAAAAGGGAGAGAACATGGGAAGAGAGATACACAGCAGACTCATAGAATAGCAGATGTCCTAAACAGCACTCTGGCCTCAGAATCAGCCCTTAAGGCATGCAGATCTGGCTGAAAAACCCATGAGAGTATTTCAGGCATGGAAAGCCAAGACACTCTGGCAAAAACAAAACAAAACAAAACAAAACAAAAACCTAAATGAAAGATCTCTGCGAGTGAGATCCCAGTGGAAAGAACAGGTCATCAAAGAAGGAAGTACCTTTCTCTGAAGGGAGGAGAGAACTTCCACTTTGACTACGACCTTGTCTAAATATGATCAGAGTTGGTGAACTCAAAAGGCTTCCATAGCCTTGGCAACTCATGACTAGAGCCTAGGGAGATTACTGATGCCATAAACAAGAGTGTCAAATTGTTAAGTCAACAACAGGAGTCACTGTGCACTTACTCCTCATGTAGGATCTCTGTCCTTAATGTGTTGTCCAATGTGAAGCAATGCTATAACTAGTACTCAAACAGTATTTTACACTTTATGTTTCTGTGTGGGTGCAAACTGTTGAAATCTTTACTTAATATATGCTAAACTGATCTTCTGTATATAAAGATAATTGAAAATGAATCTTGATGTGAATGGAAGGAGAGAGGGCGTGGGAAAGGGGAGGGTTGCGGGTGGGAGGGAAGTTATGGGGGGGGGGAAGCCATTGTAATCCATAAGCTGTACTTTGGAAATTTATATTCATTAAATAAAAGTTAAAAAAAAAAAAAAGAAATTCACAAATCCAGGCTAGAAAGTCATGCCTAGAAAAGAGAAGCACCATCTATGAGGGAGAGCAAGTTTTGGGCTTTTGAGACCTCAGAACTATCTGGCCAGTTTGGATAATGACAAATATTCTGACCTTAGGAATTGAATCTAACCTAACCCAGAACTTGGAGCTCAGAAGGACCGCGGATGCCACCGCGAGCAGCAGCGGTGCTGGGGAGACCCCTAGAGCTGTGCTGATTGTCTTCATTTCTCCAGCACGGGGAGGCGGGGGTGAATGCAGCATGTGCAGAGCTGGGAGAACTCAGAGCTGTGGACTCGCATTCCAGTGCTTTGTGTTCACAGTGTTATGCTTCTTCCTCAAAACGGAACTTATTATTTAGTGTAGTAAGCCCCTGGTGAACTCGCAAAACTGCTGCCTAAATGGATGTTTCTGAAGCATCAGAGGGAGAAGTCCTCAGGGGAAGTGCCCATCTGCCGCTGCTGGCATCTGCAGGTTTGCACTTGGGTTAGGCAGGAGACACAGGAGGCAGGAGGGAGCAGCCCTTGCACTCATGGGAGGCACTGCTGTTCCCATTCGTTGCTGTGAGGCGGGATGCCAGCTAGAGCACACTCAGCAAATCTGAATCACTTCAACACTGACTAGTTTTTTCCCCTACAGTAGATGGTATAAGCTTCCAAATCTCACAGAAGAAAGCTAGGATCAGGGTGATCTTTCCCAAAGCAGTGCGATCCATAAACAGAACTAGGCTGCACCACCAGGATTTTGCTTACTTCAAGTGCTGTTTTTCACTTCACCTGGAAATAATGCCTGGCTTTGTCTACTGATACACTCAATAGATAACTGAAATGTGTGGTTGAAGATGTAGTCCTGTGATTTCTCAGACAGCTCTACCTCCCAGTTCTACAAGGGGACAGAGGCTCTTTCCCCCACCCCATCCTGACCCTTGCAAATGAAGGGGTGATTCATTCAGCAGATACTGAATGTTTCCCTCCTCTTCCCACAGAACATGATAAATAAACTTCTGTCATCAAAGAGCCTTCCTTCTATTTGGGGAGGCAGATGATAGACAAACCAAAAATAGCTAATATAATATCAAGTGGAAGTCAGTGCCACGAAGAAAAAACCTAGGTAATGGAAGGGTGTGTGATAAAGTGAGATGCTAATTTAGAAGGGTAGCTAAGGAAGGTCTTCTCTGAGGTGAACAGTGTGAAATGAGAGGTTGAACTATGTGGAAGTGTCCCAAGCAGGGGACTTACGAGAGAAAAATCCCTGTGTTGAAAATTAGTTTGCCACAGTGAGGAGCTGGTCAGTGCAGCTGCAGTAGAGGGAGAAAGGGAAGAATGAGTGAGCGGTAGAGAAGGGAGTCAGGTTGTTAGGACAGGAGCAGGTAACGCACAGCTGTGGAGTTCATGGTAAGGACTTTGGGTTTCACTAAGAATCAAAAGTGGGAAACTGTTGGAGGGTTGATTTTTAAACAGGAAAGTTGCACTATCTAAATTTTTTTTAAATTATGCTGGACATAACATTTGTTTAGAAATCTATGAGCTTATAATAAACTATTTTGGTCACCATTGGAGGATGCTAATGAGTGAACTGATTGTTTTGAAAGCTGGTAAAAGAGGATAATCATGTATCCTGCCTTTTTACTATTGGAACTTTTCTATTGGTAACTAAAAGAGAAGATAATTTCTCTTTATAGAATTATCCCAGGTGACATATGAAGAGGGAATGATAGAATTAGGAAATCAGTAAAATCAGTATTTTATGAATTAATCCATGTAATTGTGTTAACATCAGAAAATGAGCCATCTAGGAATTCATCTGATGGAAGAACATGTCACTATAAAGTGGTTTTGCTTAGACAAGGGAAATGAAAGCTAAACTAAATCCAACTGCCAATGTACAGGTAGAACACAGAACAGAGGAACACATTGAATGATACCCTGAGGGTACAATCAACAGAATTCAAGTATGTTTGACATACTAGGCCAGATGGCTCAGTTCTTCACAAATAAAATGCAAGAAAGAGAATTAGAGATGGAGGGTGAATCCTATAAGGGAAAACAGATTGGAGATATTAATGTGTAGACAAAGCATTAAAAAATTAAAGTTATTAAATGATATGTTTTATATTAAGGAATTGTTAATATTTTTATGAGATCATGATTTTGTATTTATGTTTTTAAGTCAATATATTTTAGATATAATTATAGATGAAATGTTACAGTATCTTTATTTGCTTCAACATAAACTGTTAGGGAATAATATAGGTGGAGTACAGATATGAAACAATATTAATGAAGAGATAAATGATAAATTGATTCATTCTCCATATTGTCTATGTTTAGGTAAAGGTTTTCATGATTAAGAGTTAGAAGAAATACCTCTGGTTATTACATTGAAAGTAGACTGTGAGCCGGCGCCGCGGCTCGCTAGGCTAATCCTCCGCCTGGCGGCGCCGGCACACCGGGTTCTAGTCCCGGTTGGGGCGCCGGATTCTGTCCCGGTGCCCCTCTTCCGGGCAAGCTCTCTGCTGGGGCCGGGAAGGGCAGTGGAGGATGGCCCAAGTGCTTGGGCCCTGCACCCCATGGGAGACCAGGAAAAGCACCTGGCTCTTGGCTCCTGCCATCAGATCAGCGCAGTGCGCCGGCTGCAGCGCGCCGGCTGCAGCGGCCATTGGAGGGTGAACCAATGGCAAAGGAAGACCTTTCTCTTTGTCTCTCTCACTGTCCACTCTGCCTGTCAAAAAAAAAAAAAAAAAAAAAAAAAAAAAGAAAGTAGACTGTGAGGACCAAGAGTGACAACAGTGGGAAGGTACTGTTGTGGCCAGCCAAGTAAAAGATGAGGGTGACTTGGATTAATATTCATGGCAGAAACAAGAAGAGCTTGTTTTTTTTTTTTTCAGATTTATTTATTTATTTGAAAGGCAGAATTGCAGAGAGGCAGAGAGAGAGAGAGAGAGAAAAAGAGAGAGGTCTTCCATCCACTGGTTCACTCCCCAAATGGCTGCAATGGCTGGAGCTGGGCCAATGTGAAGCCAGGAGTCCGCAGCTTCTTCCAGGTCTCTCATGTGGGTGCAGGGAGCTTGGTTTTAGGATTGAGGAATAACAATAGGACTTGATGGCTTGGACATGGAGTGGGAAGAAAAGAGAAGAAAAAAATGTGGAGAAGCAAATTTCAGCCCTACATTCCCATGATAAGAGAATTGGCTAGATTTTTCTTCCTTCCCGAAAAGCTTACTGATTTATTTGCTCCCTACAGAATATCCAAGCAAACAAGGAGCTGATTCGATGTGTCATCCTTTCTCGGATTATTTTTGGGGAAGATCACTGGAAATGTGCACAGGCTTTGGCCAGCCTGGCTTATGGCTACTTGACACTGAGAGGTACCTGATTTCCCTACCTGGGTCTGGGTGGGCCAGCCTGTGAGGGCCAAAATGGACCCATATACAAACTCAGTGAGGGCAGAGGTGGCTGAGAGTCCCTTCCTGACACCAGATCACACTCTGTTGAGAGAAGGGCAACTGTATGATGACACAGTGTGGTGAGGATCTTAGTAATGAATAATTATGATAGTGATGGTTACTATCTAGCATGTATGAAACTAGTGTTATTGAGTTCTCATAAGATTCCTTGGAAAGAGATACCTTGTTACCTTGGTTTCTGGGTGAGGACAGTGAGGCACAGTAGGCAAAGGAGTATCAGAGGTTCTAGTTACAGGTTAGTAGCAAATATGTGTAGCCAGTGTCAGGGAGGCAGATGCAGGCATAGAACCTGAATTCTAAGGACAGAATTTATGTTCCTAGAAAGTCAGGTTTAGGAAAGGCTGAGCCCTCTCTTGTGGAAGACACTCTGGTACCATATTGAAATGATTTGATATTGACACTTCCATATTGAAAAACTGGGACCCAAGTGAGAGTTCAGTGACAGCAGGAATTTTGCAGTAGAGGCTCAATAAATACTTGCTGATAGACTGAGGCAAGAACAGACTGTTGGAACCAGGGTCATGACCTGCACAAGGCCCTTTGGGTCTTGACCAGTGTCCCCCAGATTCAATTTTGCCATGAAGCACATTGTATAACACTCAGGTATGCTTTGTTCAGATGCCTCTGCCTCTAAAGGTGATGAGTTCTCATTTGATCTAGAACAGTCCCTTGTATACAGTGTGATCTAGCGCAACCCCTGGTAATACAGCATGTGGCTGCTTGATAAAACAGACACTGGCCTGTGGCTTTTTCAAGTACCTATTGGGCTTCATTCTGAGATAGCTCTTAATATAATACAAATGATTTCAGAGAATAAGAGACATGTGTGCTGTTGGGGAAGGGAAACAATATACTGTGGCCATCATGAGCCTAGATGTGAGAAATCAAAACTTGCAAAATTGAAATTGAATTTATTTCTCAGTTATTGATCCCAAATACATTCTCTTCAGGGTTCCTTAGGCCTTTTCCACTCACTTGTTTTTATGTATTCTCAGATTCCTTTGTTGTTGCTGTGGTGAGATTATGAATAATTGACATTGGATTCATTGGTGCTGTGTGTCACAGTGAGGTTACATTGAGGCCATTTTAGGCCTTAAGAAGGCTTAAGAAGGCCGCAAGGAGGCTGACATGGCTAAGAAAGGAGGGATTTTTCACTGATAGGAGCAGGCAACCACCTGTGGAGATTTGAGGGACTCCAGGAATGTCCTCAGTGACACAGAATCTTCTCTCTTTTTTTTTTTTTAAGATTTATTTATTTATTTGGAAGTCAGTGTTACACAGAGAGAGAAGGAGAGACAGAGAGAAGGAGAGAGAGATATCTTCCATCTGTTGGTTGATTCCCCAGTGTAGGACCCCAAAAGCGGTGTCCTTTTGTGACGACCCCAGAAACACAGACTCCAGACCAGACGATGCAAAAGGCAGGAGGCAGTTTTATTTCATTTGCGCAAATGGGCCCTCTTCTTGCTGCCGCAAGCAGCGGGGGCAGAGAGGAGCCCCGAACAATCATTTTACACAGTTTTTAAAGGGCAAAACCACAAAATTAACATACTATAGGGTGGCGTAAGTTTATTGGGCAACTACAAGGGGAGGAGGTCATCGAGGAGGAGGAGAAACAGGGGGCTATGTGCCCCACGTGTGTAAGCTTGGATATGGGGAGGGGGTCCTTGGAGAGCAGAAAGGGGTGGCTACGTGCCCTACGTGCCTCGCGGTTTCTTTGTTAAGCTTGAACAAGCACAGGGGAGGGGGCTTAGGTGCATACCAGGATGTTCTGTCGCCCTTATCTCTGGGTAGTAGCCCTTATCTCTGGGTAGTAGCTATCTGCTTTCTCTGTGAACTTAGTTTACTCCCCATTTCCCAGGACTGTTTTATTAAGGCCATTCTTATGGCGGCTCTTGGCTCTCGGCCGTTCCTTTCACCAGTTAGCTACAATGGCCAGAGCTGCGCCAATCTGAAGCCAGGAGCCAGGAGCCTTTTCTGGGTCTCCCATGCAGGTGCAGGGGCCCAAGACTTGGGCCATCTTCCACTGCTTTCCTGGGCCATAGCAGAGAGCTGTATAAGAAGTAGAGCAGCCAGGACTTGAACCAGCACCCATATGGGATGCTGGCACTGCAGGCGGCAGTTTTACCTGCTGTGCCACAGAGCCGGCCCCAGAATCTTCTCTTAATGGGGCTTCATCCTGCCTCACCTGGAATCTCTGTATTTCAGTCAGATTTTTTCAAAATCTGCTGCCTTAATGAGTCAAATTTAAGGATGTGCTACTTCAACTCAGAGAGCACCTGTTACAAGCCTAGTGGCAACTGTACTAGGTTCTGGGGCTACAGATTATTAGTGGCCCCTTTGCCAGAGTAGCATACAGGGGTCTGACACTAGGATCCCATGATAGCAGTAGTAGCAAAGTTCCAGGGAACACAAATGCAGCAGATCAGTGATTTTGCCGTTTAGAAAGCTCAGGGAAGGCTGTCAAGAGAGGAGGTGATGATTGTTCTGTCTTTGAAGGCTGAGTAAAGGCCTTGAGGGGAGTAGCGGAGAGTGCCGTATTTGTTCTCCCTGCGTGTCCCTCTGAGGAATGGGTGGAGAGGGGAAGGCATTCAATATGGAACTCTTTTTTTAAAAAATATTTATTTTTATTTACTTGAAAGATGGAGTTACAAAGAGAGGGTGAGAGAGAGAGAGAGAGAGAGAGAACTTCCATCTGATGGTTCACTCCCCAAATGGCTACAATGGCTGGAACTGGGCCAGGTCAAAGCCAGGAGCCAGAAGCTTCTTCTGAGTCTCCCACGTGGTCCCAGGGGCCCAAATACTTGGGCCATCTTTCACTGCTTTTCCAGGCACATTAGCAGGGAAATGAATCAAAAGTGGAGCAGCCAGGACTTGAACCATCGCAGACAGTGGCTTTATCCACAACACCACAACACTGGCTCCCGTTATGGAACTTTTTACCCAGGACATTGTTAAGTTCTTTCCAGTCTCAAGGGACCAGCATAGAAAAGAAGCTACTTCAGGACAAGCAGGTCATGCCTGAAAATGAGATTTAAAAGGAGATTTGGGTCTAGATATCAGGGAGTGTAGGGAGTTATTACAAGGTTTTAAATGGAATAGTAACATAATCCAGTTTGTGTTGTGATCACAGAGAAATTCTGGAGAATGGGTTGGGTGGTAAAGAAAGTAGAGGTGAAGAAGATCAGTTAGGCCATTATCCTGCCCCGATGAGAGCCAGTTAAGGCATGGCCATGACCGTGGGAATGCAGAAAAGATAACTTTAAATGTAGAGTTGGTGACATGGCATGGCCAGTTCAGTATGAAGTGGCCATGATGTGGACAGTTAGCTGAAATATAGAATTAAAGAGGAAGACCAAGTTGATAGAGGAAGGGAGGAGAAATTCTTGAGTTTGCTTTCAGACAGGTTGGATCCCGTTTATGTTGATAGGTCCAGCAGGCAACTGACAAGTGAGTATAGAGCTCAAGAAAGAGTCAGGCTGGGGGGCTTCGCACATAGATGAGCAGGTGGAGGCCATTGGAGTAGATGAGGTTGGTCAGAAAACATGTGTAGTAACTGAGGACAGAAGAAGAGTGTTAGGAATGGCAAGTGGAAAAGGAGCTAACCAAAGAAATGGAAGAAACAAGAAGTGCTGTGTCATCGAGGCCAAAGTTGGAGAGAGAGTTTCCAAAGGAAAAGCAGTGTAGTTTCAATAGTTTCAGATGGTAGAGACAGGGTCAAATAAGGAGAAAGCTACCGACACAGCCATGAGTTTGGCAATTGGTAGGTAACTGATACTTGGTGCAGGCAAGAACGCTCCTTGGGCCCTGGAAGAGCCCAGATTCAAAGCGATTCACTAAGAAACTTTTGCTAGAATTCAGACTTGAGGTGATGACAGCTTGAATTGGAGAAGATGGCATTCTAGAGGGAAATTTGTCTGAACTTGGGGTTTGGCCAAATGCTGCCTTCCCTGGCTTGTATAGTAGATTTCTATGGTAGGTCTAGGGGAGAATGTTGGCCCACATCTTCTGGAATAACCCGTTCCACAGTCAGCAGCAAACTGACTTTGAGTTTTACTTTTCCAACTAGATTCTATGTGGAGTCAAGATAGGTAGACAAACCGTATCACAAAAGATGGTAAAAGCATTCTTTCCTCCCTAGTTTACAATTGTTCCTGATAAAAGAATGGAGAACTATGTTGGGGTAATAGATTGGAGGGGGAGAAAGTTTTCCTGTGAAAAGAGAATTTTTGTTTGTTTTTCCCATTTGGGAAAAACAGCTTCCTGGTTAGATGAAGTGACCAGGTGGTATAACATTCCTAGACATGAGCCCAGACTTCCTGACACCCACCCTAGAGTTTTTCTAGAATAGACGATGATTGTGACCTTTCCTTGAGAACAGCCCAGTGCCTCTTATTTCAGTTGCAGCCCTGACCCAGGTTCTTCACTTAAGCTTTTATTTTTTTCTACTGCCTGATCCATAGAATAAAATAACTAAAGCCCTGGAAATACCCTTCAAGGGGGTGAAGTATATACTAAGTTACACTTAGTTTCGTTATCATTAATCCTGTAACTGCTTTACAATGGACAGAATAGATGAATTGGTCTTCTGTGCAGGCAGGATGCAAGTGTCTGTGTGTGTTCATGCCTGGCTGCTCATGTGTATGTGTGTGTGTGTGTGTGTGTGTGTGTTATAGCCATCAGATCTGCTTTCCTCATTTCCCTTTGAGCTTGCTAGCACTGGGATATGGGGGGGGCAAGTCAAAAAGCTGATTTCTCTCAATAAACAGTCTTTCAGTGAATAGTGAGAGCCTTATAGATGTAAAATATGTGCAGAGCTTTGAGAAATATAATATATAGAAGCCCTCCAAGAACTTGCAGCCTAGCATGGGAGTGAGCTACCTAGAGACTACCTATGATAGAAG